ATAAGGGTGATACTAAAACATCCCCAGACAACCAAAAAAGGAGACAGTTAATATCCACCAGACTGGCCCTAAAACAAAGCAAAAAAAAAAAAAAAAAAAAAACAATAGGAACACTGCAGATGGAAGGGAAAAGGTACTAGAAAGTGATTCAAATATAAACACGAAAGAAAATATCCTAATAAAGAGAATGTATGGTCAATTTGAAGAGCTTATAATAAGTATTGATTCCTGATCATTCTAAACCCTTTATTTTACATGTTTTTAATAAAGAATCTATCAAACATAAGAATAAATGAATGTTATGGTGAACTATTTGCATGAAGTATATACAAATAGTGATAAAAACAAAAAATGAGGGGAAGAATTATATAAAGAATATTTTGCATGTTACTGATATATCTGTAGAACTAAAAGTCACATTAAGATATATTATTAAGTAAATACGACAAACTTCATAACTACTTCTTTCTAGGGTCTGCTTTGCTTCCCCGCAGAGTCTAGGCATTGACCCTGAGATATCATATTAAGATAAGATTACTTATCCATGTATGTAATCTATTTTTGTTGGAGTGTTTATTGGATGGTTTATTTTATTTTTATTATTTATATAAATTTTAACTACTGTGACTTATGCCATCAGGGTATCAAACAGATTTCATAAGAAAAAAAACAAAAACCCAACAATCACAAACCTAGAAATTATATCATTCTTCAGACTACAGGAAATGTAAATTTTATAGCCTGTAATATTTTATTGTTAAGTATTATAAACATTGATCCTTATTAAGGTCTTTGGACCTCTACCAATAAAAAATAAACTTTTTTTTTTTTTTTAATTTTGGCAGATTAGACAGAGACAGTGATTTTAAGGAAAATTCTATAGCTATTGTTGTTGTTACTAAGTGCCCTTGAGTTGGTTCTGACGCACAATAACCCTGTAGAGTGCTTACAAGGAGAGACTGATGGGTTTGAACCACTGACCTTACAGTTAGCAGTCCAGTACTTATCCTAAAGTGCCACATAAAGACCCCTCCTCTAGCCATATCTGTTTTATTATTTTTTATGAGGGTAAATAGTTTATTCTGAACACATTTAATTCATTAAATAATATATTGGATACACTTGTGTTAAGCATTGGTGTGTACGGATAGCTTTAGTGGTAGTTAAACTTGTAAGATATTCTAAATACGTGTTCTTATTTTTGTTATTAAGTGCCCTTGACTCACAGTGACCCTTTATAGAATTCAGTGGAGTGACTGATGGGGATGTTACAGGTAGCAGTCTAGTGCTTCTCCTACAGCATCACTTCTTAACATCTATGTAAGATACATTATATTATTTTATAATAAAAACATATATTACTATTTATTGCTTATATCCTTAGAAATCTGCTTCAAAGTATTTTATTTATGCATTCCATTTTAATTTTTTAATTTTTAAGCTTTTACTATGAATTGAGTGAAAACCTAAAGGGCAGATCATCAGTTTTACATTCAACAAATCATATACATTGTTTCACTATAATGACTATAATCCCTTCCATATATCATCAGTTAACAGTATTTCTCTCTATTAATTTTAGACCCGGGCTTGTTTTATTTTAAACACTCAGGCATATATAATAATTTAAACCACCAAAGGGCACATTCTGCAAGCCTGCCTCCTGGCTGTCAGCACTCAGTCTTTCTCTTTCCATGAATCTACTAGAGCCCTCAGCTGCTCTCTCTCTCACCATGACCTCATCTCTGCCTCCAACTCTGGTTTCATGGCTTCTCTGGATAGGGTTCTGCATTCAGCTTGTGCTCTCTTCCCTTTATGGTCCTAGGGTCTTCTGTTTCTGGACTGCAAAATTAACTACTTCCCTGTTCTTATTACAAAACTTCTACCTTTACAATCATGACAGTCACAATTAGAAATGATAACAATCACTCACTATTTAATCATACGAATCTTATCTTCATCTCTTTTCACCAGACCCATGAAGACAAGATGAAAACTATTCAGTGGGAACACTATCTTCCCTTGCACACTTTTATACTATACTCCCTCTTGAAAACGTGTAAGCCAGTCACTTTTTGCTTTTATTGCCCCCTCATTTTAGGTAGCAAATGTCTAATTTGTCTTCCTATCTACCTGATGTACAGAGGAGATAGAATTGATACTTGATATGAAGACTCCTCCCCTCTCTGTTGGTATTTTCAGCTACTACATCCATGAGTGTAGGTGAAGTTCATCAAATTGTAGCAAATTACCCTCATGTTCTTTACTTTAATAACTTTTAACAAAATATTTATAAATATATGTGGGTATTTAGTGATTTTTATTACTTAGCTTTTCAATAACACTAATTAATAACAGACCACACAGAAACTCAGTAGCTTATATCACCAAGCATTTGTTTTCATATTCACAGAGAATCAAGTCAGTAATGATTGGGCTTATACAGGCAGGATTTAGCGGGATGATTCTGCTGCAGGTTGGTGAAGTATGTTTAGAGCCTATGGATTTTATATGACCTCATGGCTAGGCTAAAGGGACAGTGATTACCCAGGGTGCAACATTCTCAAGGCAAGTTTAAAGAGTGAATGTCTTAGGTATCTAATGCTAGTATAACAGAACTATCACAAGTGGATTACTTTAACAACCGGAAGTTTATTGTTTCACTGTTTAGAAGGCAAAGTCTAAATTTACAGTGCTGGCTCTAGAGGAAAGTTTCATCTTTGCTACCTCTGGGAAAAGTCTTTGTCTCGTATAAACATCTATAGGTCTTGTAGTCTTCACTGTTCCTTAGAGATCTCCATACATCATGACATCAATCTTGTCCTGGATCCAGGAACTACAAAGTGTAGGAACTCCAGGTCAAAGGATGCACTCCACTCCAGGGTTTTTGGTCTTGGTGGCAGTAGAGCACACTGAACTCTGCTCACTTGATTTCTGCTTTCATATCACAAAAGAGATTGACTCAAGACACAACCTAATCCTGTGGATTATATTGGACCTATTTAACATCAAAGAGTGATGCTTTATAACATAAAGGATAATTACATCAGATATGGTCTGATCACATCAGATCACATCATATGGGGGACTGAACCATATTGGATGTCATCCAGGAAACAATGATGACAGATTAACTGTGAAACCCCTGAGACTCCTGGCAAGCCAACTTGGCACAAATCCAGAATTATCACCGTGAACAAAATCCCCAACATAGTTACGTAAGTCGATTTAAGTCAACAGAACTCCAACCAAAAGGTATAAAATTCTTACCTTTTTATTTTATTAATTTGTCAAGTTAGTAAAACACTTTAAGCCCATGTAACTTTCAAGGTATTTGAAAAGACTCTTGATAATTATACTTCAAAATTGTTATCATCTTTAAAATGTTTCCACATTTAAGATTGCACTAATTGGAAATTAAAGCTGCGTGAATTTTTACCGTATGGATTTAAATAAAATTTAAAAGATAAGATGCCCTCATTGGGAGATAAAGGCAGGACTCTTGAACTGATGTATAATATAAGTCTGCTACATCTGACTTCTTAAAACTTATACAAATGGTCTGGCATCTTGTCAAGTGCATATGGACAATTCACTCAGCAGGTATACAGAGAGAGCTGCTACTTTGCATTTCTAACAAACTCCCACTGATGTCCAAGATGCTACAAAATCCTGGAGAAAATTGAGCAGCAAGTTGTGAGCATTTTAAAGATGAACACTGCTACATCACTAATACTCTGTGGTTTTTGGTATTGTTTTAAATTAAGATACAGCTTCAAGTTTTCTTAAGTAATTTCTATGTTATTAGATATAATGTTTTCAGGTTTTTTTCAGTTTATGAAATGATTTGATGGTGTTTTATTTGAATGTTAACCAACTTTGTTGTTGTTGTTGTTGTTAAGTGCCATGGAGTCAGTTCCGACTCAGAGTGACCTTACACAGGGTTTCTGGGGCTGTAAATCTTTACAGGAGCGGAACACCTCATCTTTCTCCTGCGGAACTGCTGGTAGTTTCGAACTGCTTACCTTGAGGTTCACAGCCCAATTCGTAACCACTATGCTACAAGAGTTTGTAGGTGTCGTTAATTGCTGTGAACTCAATTCTGACTCACAGCGACCCTACATCGGGTTTCCAAGGAGTACTGTTGGATTTGAACCAATGACCTAGTGGTAAGCAGTCAAGTGCTTATTGAACAGAACCAATTTCCTGAATATATTTGGAAGCAAAACTAAGCATAGGGCTAGGCCTTTCCTAAGGGCAACCTTTTGAGAGTCAGGGTAATAATGACATTGCTGGGTGTCTTCTATCATCTTCAACATTTCCATGTAGCCTTGAAGTATATTTCACAAAATCTTTTTACTCTATAATCTCTTGTAGTGTTGCCAAAAATGAACCCTCCCACAACATTGATCAGATAGAAGGAAAGGATTCATTCACTACTCTCCACCAGCACCTTCAGGCAGACCTTCAGACAGAAATGAAGAAAACAGACTTCATAGTGACAGTAACAGTACCTCTACCTCTAGATGCCAACACAGGTCTGAGGACCATGGAGTTAGGCATCACATACCTTCAATACAGCTGCACTTGGGCTCTGGAGAATCATGTGAAAATCACTCATTTCCACTATCTGCTTCCCTGGCAAGGAGAGTCCAAGGTTTTGAAAATGGTTTAGATTCTAATTATCTAAATAGAATTGTTATAACAGTTCTGCTTAGAGTATCACGATTGGCTTCACTTTTGAAATAGGAACTCTGATACTAAACCCCAGCACTATAATGTCTGTCTTTCATAAAATTAGGACAGGCACTGTCTATATCTATGTTATTGGGACTAAGGAGAAGGAATGCTGAGGAGTCAACTCAGCTCCTTCTACAAAATAAGTCAGGATCACAGAGTGATTGCCTTTGAAAAGACATGAAGCAGCTAGAGGTACAAAGAGAAGCCACTGGGAGAACCCAGCCTCAAGCACCTGCTCCCCGGGGTGGTGGGGTTTATGTTCAAGCATGTAACATTGTGGGAGGGTAAGTATTACTCTGTTGACAGTAATAAATACCAAAATCTTCAGCTTCCAGGCTGCTGATGGTGAGAGTGAAGTCTGTCCCATACCCACTCCCACTGAATCGCTCTGGGATGCCATTGGCCCTACTGGTTGCATAATAGATGAGGAGCCTGGGGGCCTGCCCAGGTTTCTGCTGATACCAGTGTAAGTTATTGCTAATACTCTGACTGGACTTGCAGGTGAGGGAGACTCTTTCACCAGGAGACAGAGAGAGGGAAGAAGCTGGGGACTGAGTCAGCACAATGTCTCCCATGGTATCTGAAGTTGGAAATAAATCACAAAGTCACCCATTTGCTCTGAACGATATATACCACATTGTCTGCCCAACAGCCCCCATATGTAATCCAAACAAACCAATATTTAGCTTTTTTTTTTTCTTGCCTAGCAAACGTGTTAGATTCTAGGACCTAAAAACATTGAAAAAAGTTTTCACTGACAGAACCATCCCTATTGCCCTCACCTGGGAGCCAGAACACTAGCAGGCAGAGAAGCTGAGCTGGGCCTTCCATGGTTCACTCTGTGCCCCAGATGAGACAGATCTTCCCCTGAGTGCAGACCCAGCATTCATATGGGCTCTGGAAGACCAGGTGGACTGGAAGGAATATGCAAAGCAGGTGGGTGGAGCCAGCTGGGCTTCCAGCTGCAGAAAGGCTTTGTCTGCTCTTCTCTGCACATGAGCAACCATCCTCAGGAGGCCCAGTCAGAAAAGACTTAGACTCGGACTCAGGGCAGAATTTCCAAGGGTCACTGAATTTAACCCTTGTACAAAGAGCTCTGGTAGCGTACTGGTTGTGAAATGCTCTGCTAACCTCAAGATCAGTAGTTTGAAACTACCAGCTGTTCAACGGTAGAAAGACATCATGCTTTCTGATTCCTTAAAGACTTACAGTCTTGGAAACCCTGCACAGGGTCTCTATGATTTAGAACTGACTCCAAGGCACACCACCACAATACACTGGACTGAAAGGTTGGTTTGAACCAGAAAGTCGGCTGTTCAAATGCAGGGGTCATTCCTTTGAGTCACTATGAGTCAGATCTGACTCGATAGCACTTAAAAACAAAAACAAATATTATTAACCAAGGCTCAATCAAATGCTATTACTCAGAAGCCTGTTGGGAAAAAAAGAAATGCCTGAGGTTCTCACTTTCTCTGTCTCAGACAAATGGTCAGTGAGTGGGTATTGTCCAGTTGTGGTGCCAGTAAAACTGGCCCCCAATAATGGACAGGGAGAGGACCTGACTGTTGGCAAACAGAAAAGAGGGATTGGCCCTGTGACTGTAGTCAATCCCAGAGATGGGGAGAGAACCAATCCAGGCTTTATTAGCAGAAAGCCAGCAGTCTGGAGGACAGAGAGGTTCATTTCTCAAGAAAGTCCTGTCCATTATGAAGAGTGGGCACATTATATAGGGCAAATTACATTTGGACTTACACTTAATCTATTTTAACACCAAGATAGCGTTTTTTGGAAAAAGAAACAACAAAGCAATGAATTTCCACAAGGCGTGGAAGAAACAGAATCTCCACTGAGTAGCATTCAATATGTCTGGGCAGGACTGATGAAAGGAGATGGAGCTAGGTCTTTAGTGGTACAATAGTGAATAATTGCTATCAAGACTGATTATGAGGGTGGGAAATGTAAAGGTAGACATTTTGTAGCAAAACTAGAGGAATGATTGACCTTGCAGTCCAGGAGTGGAGGATTGATTGTAAGGGATGGATATGTAAAGGTAGACATTTTGTGGCAAAGGGAGGGGAGTGATTAACTTTGTAGTCTAGGAACGGAGGTTCCTGGGACCATCAAGTGAGAAGAGCAGGAGGATCGGGACCCTAACCCTGAGAAGCAATGACTCCAGAGATGGAGGCAGAGACAATGAGGTGGAGACATGGAGCGGCTGGGGACTCTAGACCCAGAGAGGGAGAGGGGCTGTCTGCTGATGACCAGGGGACAGGCTGACAGGGTATACCCTTTGGTTGGTTGATGATACATGGAGGGAATTATAACCATGGCAATGAAATTACATGAGATAGGATGAATGTAAAGCTAATGTTCTCCCATGTAAACTACCACAAAATTCACAATAAAACATTTAAAAAATAAATTAATTAAAAATGCAAACCAGATTCTTAAGACTGTAGAAAAAGTATGTAAAATATCCCAATAATTTTATATTGACTATATGTTGAAATAATACTATCTGGATGTATTGTGTTAAATAAAATGTATTAAAAAAATAATAATAAATAATAAATAAACTTCCTCAAACATTCTACCTTTAAGAAAAGGGAAACAATCAGGAAATCATCCTCACACATTCCACCTTTTAGGATCCAAGCTGCTTAGTTTTGAGATAACTATCTGGGTGAACTTAATCACATCCTGTTCTCCTTCCAGGAACATGAAGTCATCTTGGCTAAGTTTTAAACTAACTTCCTCATTTGCAGGGTCTTCCTTTATCAAGACCTAATAACTAAACTGACTCCATTTTCTTTAGGTCGGTAGATCCATGCTATCCTGAGTGCCCAGGACTTTAACAACCGTGTGGGTCAGACTGTCGTCAAACTGTTCTCAGTGGTCCCAATAACTGCTGACCCACTGGAGGCCTTAAGGAAGAAGGTGCAACAAGATGTCCCCCTGAGTCTTTACTCAATAGGATTATGGTCAGGTTAGAAAGAAAAGTCGTTTATTTTAGGTATATATTTCTAGGAGTCCTAGTGTGACGCTATAAGATATGCACTGAACTGCTAAACACAAAGCCAGTGGTTTAAACCTATCAGACACTCCTCAGAAACCCTATATAGGGTTGCTATGAGTTGCAACTTACTAGACAGCTTCTATCTGAAAGACTGGTGCTTTGAACCCAGGTAGCATAGTGGTTACAAATTGGGATGCGAACCTCAGGGTCAGCAGTTCGAAACTACCATTGTTCCATAGGAGAAAGATGACGCTTTCTGCTCCCATAAAGATTTATGCCTCAGAAACCCTGTATATAGTGGCTATGAGACAGAATTGACTCCACAGCACCTAACAATAAAAACAAGAGTAAGCCTTAGATCTGGTATGCTGCTGTGGGTTAATGCGCCAGACTGCAAAACTGAACTTCAAGGTCAGCAGTTCAAGCTCACCAACTGCTCCTTGGAAACCTTGCACAGGGCCATTATGGGTCAGAACCGACTCTATGCACTTCACAATAACAACAACAAGTATTATTGAGAGTAAATGATCTGTTGATCTGCTTTTGTAAAGATTATTGTTGTTGTTGTTGTTAAGTGCCGTTGAGTGGTTTCTGACCCATAGCGACCCTCTACAGGGTTTAGCCCCGCCACAAAAAAAATTCTCAAATTATCTCTATTCTGTCACATGGAACTGGTGTAAATCCAGAACAACTGGATAACAATCACAATAACAATAACACATTTATCTACACAAGTATTCTATATATGTATTATTGTTTTTGTTAAGTGCTATGGAGTCACATCCATCTCATAGTAGCCCTGTATAGGGTTTCCAAGGAGCAGCTGGTGGGTTTGAACCGCCAAACTTGCAGATAGAAATCCAGTTCTTATCACTACATATGGCCCTTGGATATTTTATATATACTATACAAATCCATAGAAAAAGTCCATGATCTTTTATTATGTTTTCCCAGGAACTTTACAAAATATACTCATTTATCAATATAATAAATAAATAAATATACTTACATATATATGGTTATAAATCTGATTGTTGGTAGGATGCATGACTTTAAATTTTGATAAATTGAACATGAACAGGAACATTTAAACCTTTCTATGAACTTCCTCACTGCAGGGCCAGAGACTCAGGTAAAAACTAAGGAATCTGGGGAGGAACTAACCACCATGATTGTGCTGAGCATGAACAGTGATGTCCCCATTGCTGAGGACTCTGAGTGACTGAGGGGGTGCTAGGGGAGCAACACAGCACAACAGCAGGTACCTGAGACATGTAGGAGACCTGGACCCTGAATGCAGAAGTGTTTCTCTCCAGAGCACAGTCCCAAAGGCAGTCCCTCCCAGGTGCCAATTGTGGAATAAAAGCAGCCAAAAGTCTTCTGTAACCACTGTGGTCACAGGACCAAACCCCCTATTGCCTGTCCAGAGCCTCACCTCTGACCTGGAAGTGGGGTGGACTTCCCCAGCTTGCATTTGCTCTACTTGATTGCTAGGATTCTTTGTTCAGAATGGAACTTGTCTGCTCCCTATTGCAAACTTGAGGATATTTGCAATTTTGCTTCAGGGCTTTTCAACAATGATCCATCCACATGTACTTACCAAGTGGAGTCAGAACAATGAGCTTAGCCAGGATGTGTGTGGATAACATCAGTGTGTGAAATCAAGTTAGATTGTTCTAGTTAAGTACCTTCAAGTAGGTTTTGACTCATAGTGACCATGTGTAGGTTTCCAAGGGTGTAATTCTTTGTTGAAGCAGAAAGACTCATCTTTCTCCTGAGGAACAGCTGATGGACTTGAACAGCTGGACTTGGGTTCATAGTATAATGTTTACCCTATCGAGGAACTATGGTCTTCAAGATGCATTGGCATACATAAATTCAATATACTGCATCCATTCCTTCCATGACTCAGAAGAGAGATTCTACAATTGTCCCTGTAGAGAAGGTGGCAATGTGTTTGAGGAATAGGTGGTATACAATTCCAAACTGTGGTCCCCATGCCCACAAGGGGCCCTTCTGACTTTGATCTCTGCTCAGAGGATAGGGAAGGGTCCTGGGAAAAAAGGCCAAGGCAGAGGGATTGTGAATAAGGCAGGATTTCTAACCACAGAACACACAGTGGATAGTCTCCATCACTCAGCACATGGGCAGCTCCTAACTCAGTGACATGACCCAGAAGACCCATCCAAACCTGTGAGGCTCCCCTGTTGATAAAAGGACAGATAGCATTACACTTTGCATTGCCTAGTATTTCTAGGAGCAGGCTTTTGCCTGTTTATTGTGGGGTTTGTCTGCCATCTAATGGCCCTTTTGTTGCATAGCAACTTAGAGGATTTTAGATGCTGGATCTCAGTGAGTCTTCACTGTGAGTCTTCTCATCAACATTCCTAAAGCAAGTCAATTATATTTATCAAAAGACTAGATTCTTTAGGGAGCACAAAATGACTCTTGCATTACATCAACCAGTAGCCTAACTGAGGACAAAAGACTAACACACAGTCAAGAATTCAGAAAAGATTTTGATCTCAAGAGACTTAAGTTTCTGTAACCCAGATGAGATGCCAGAGATGAAGTTGTGAAAAATATTGGTGACCATGAGAGTAACCTGCAGGAAAAGAGGTGAGGAGGGAAGTATGGGGAAAAGCTCCTGGTTTACATCTCATGTTCAGCCTCATGGCTCTCATCCCAGAAACCCTTGCAGAATTGTCTCTGAGAAACACCATAGCTGATCACCAGGGTTACCCAGATTACTAGACGAACAACAGTTGAGGTTTGTCCTCTGATTTATAACACTGTTAGTTGATCCATGACCAAT